GGCCCCCAAAAAGTTGTCTTGTACTTTAAATAAGAGAAAATTATTATACAGGGTAACAATAAAAAAAAAAGTGTATAATTTTCTCTTATTTAAAGTACAAAACAATTTCTTTTGGGGCCAATTTGAAAAGTTACCAACGACGCCACAAACTTTTGAACTGTCAATCAGTCAGTTATGCGCCATGCGTGATACATGCTTAGGCGATCATGTATCTTTCAATACATGACTGACGTGGCAGATTTTTTTTCCCGCAGTAGATTGCCATTTCTTTTTGCTGTAGACAAGTTCTGTAGCCATCCTACAAAACACGGTCTGTTATTTACCCATAGCTGGGGAGAAAAAGAGTATTCATACCTTTCTCAAGGGAATTAGCACATAAGTGGATTCGAACACGGCTTCCCGATTCCTCAGTCCGAGCCGCTATCTATTACTTTTTTTTCATCATAAGCTATCCATTGATTGATTTGTTTTGCTTTGTTTTTAAGGTTATTTGAAGTCGAATAAGCATAGCCTTTTTTTTTTTTTTTTTTTCCATTTTTCTAGACATAAACAAAGAGAGAAAATAAGAATTCTTCATTGTTCCGAGCGCGGCTCGAATTGAACTACCATTTCTCATTCCTTCAGTCCGTCAACAATGGTATTCTTAGAATCCTTCTGTAGAACTGCATTTCTGTTACCTAAAGTTTCTTCTCAATCTGAGATTCACTGTCATATAGGAGAACCGATATTACATAATAGTTCAGTACTAATTTTTCTGTTTCTTAATACTTTGATTAACTTTTATAAGGCATCTTTCGCTATCCCAATGCACCTTCGGATTTCGGCATCGCTCTGTTAAAACATTTTCTAGATATTTAAATTTTTGTACTTGATTAATTTTAGTATCTCCAATGCTGTTTCTATTTTTGACAACAATATTGTCTTCTTACAAATATTTAGTCTTTTTTTCTCCCTCTAATTTACTACCTTCTGTAGGAATTCCTCTAGTTTCCTTTCTGTGTCTGCTACCAACACGTTGTCATCTACATATCTAATGTTGTTGTCACCAATAATAAATCCTGATAAGACTTTTAATTCCCTCAAGATTGCTTCACTGGAACGGTTGAATAAATCCGGTGAAAAGACACGTCCTCATCTTGCAACACCTTTTTTATTTTTGTATATTTAATGAATTCATTTTCTATCTTCATGCGGGCGGTTTGTTCCCAGTATGAGTTCTGGATTATTCTAATATCCTTCTCAAATAAAATCAAGCTTACCTAGCAGTTCAAATAGTTCTTTGTGACGTATAGATATGCCATATAGTTCTTTACAAAACTGAAACATGTTTCCACTGGTATATAAAATTTAATATCTGAGCTTTATGACTTTATGTAACTTGTATATGTTTTTTTTTGTTTTTTTTGTTTTTTGTTTTTTGTTTTTTTCAGTTTACAGATGAAATGACAGAAGTTTAAAGCGTGAAGAAATTTTTGTGTTTTCCCACCTTAAACATTCTGTCGATCAACTAATTGAAAAATGTACAAGGTGACACTCACGGACAAATTCAAGCATACATACACACACACACACACACACACACATACACACACACACACACACACACATATATATATATATATATATATATATATATATATATATATATATATATATATATATATATATATATATACACGGGTGTAACAGCAAAAATATACAATTATTAGATTAAGTTTGAACTGTTTTATCTTAGAAATGATTAAAGATATCTTACTGGAATTCTCCGAGATTTTTATAACACTATTGGACTCTACTTTGAACAATAAGAATATATTTAGCTCTAAGTTGAAATGATGATTTCTCTTGCTGTTTTGATCTCATGATCCATTTTCTTCTCTATTTCTCCCTTTTTTTTTAAACTTATTCACCGTTCTCTGAATGATTCTTGAATGGAGTTTGAAGATGAAAGCCAGAGTATGAATATGAGTTGGGGAAATATAAACGATTTTAACCTGTTCTCTTTCTAGCTGAATAACTGAAAGGGTTTTTCAGTGATTCTTACGACAAATGGTGTCAAGATGGCTAAACGTCTTATCAAAAAAGCCGGAATAAAGAAACTCAATTAGTTTAGTGGCCTTTAGATACTAAACATTTTGTGGGATGGACAATTATCCCATGCTGTTACACGATTCTAACAATATAACCAACAGGAGGCAGTTTCGTTCCTCCACGGAGCTTCCTGTAAAATTTCTCTCCAGAAGAGTGTGCTCGTGGAGAATAGACATTTTTTTCTTAAAAAGATTGAAGGAGGACAATATAAAGATTTTCCGATACAAGTAAATAATCAAGTATATGTATATTATATGTATACTATATCTATAATTTATACACACACATACACACACACACATATATATATGCAATTTATAGAGATAATTTATATATAGATATATAGTTTATACAGTGGAAGTCTGGAAGAAAGGACATTTAAGGCAAGCACTTTTTGCAATAAAGTGATTGATATTATAAATAGATTATTATTAGGATTAATACAAATATACAATTGGTCATTTAGCTGATTGATGCTATATTCATCACCCCGACTACAGAGTTTTGTAGATGAACATTTTTGTAATCATTCCGTCCCCTCGTCAGGAGATTTCAGCTGAAAAAGGTGCGTCTTTGAAACTATGGAGTCGGGGTGTTGCCTATAACGTAAATCAGCTAAGTGACAAATTTTATATTTGTATTAATCATTTGCTTCACCTTTCTTAGAATTTAATCTATCAACTGAAAGGATTGCTAGAAATAATATATTGGAGAAACCTTAAAGAGTTTAAACAAAAACACTATATGAACACAAAATGGGACATTTTAAAAAACAATACACAAAACGCATTGGTTGTTCACCATATTGAAACTAACCACAATTTTGACATAAAAAAAGACTACTCTAATTAAAAGAGAAAATAATTTACTCAGACGAAAATGTTTAGAAAATGCTTTTATCGCTAGTTCAGTCACAGTAAATTTACGTCCAGGTTCTTACAAAGTTTCACCATACTTGACAGATTTTCTGTTATCCCAATGTGGGATATTTAAAAGCAAAGATGATGGAAAGAAAAAGAAAAAAATATGTATGAATTTAGCTAAATGGCAAAAAATTCTGTCGTAAAATTATTTTTAAAAATGTTGAAACTACCAGCATCTCTTGCTCATGTGACTGGGTTTGTTGACGTTGACCCAGTCAATATATACAATTTACACATATATATAAAAATTATACATATGCATTCAACATATATATATATATATATATATATATATATATAGGCTTAATACAAATATTAAATTTGTCAGTTAACAGACTGAATATATACATGTAACTGGGTCTGATAAAATTAGAATGAAATACAGAGATGAATAAAAAAGGCGGTAATAAGTACATTCAGCCATTGTGAAAAAAGACAGAATAAATAAATCTAATATAAAAGTAAATAAATGCTTTCTTCTCAAAAAATAAAGAATATACCATGTAGTACACACGAGAGCGCACAGACATATATATATATATATATATATATATATATATATATATATATATATATATATATATATATATAGGTCATAAGGTTAATATCCGAGTTTAATTTTATAAAACCTCTTTAAGACTAATACCTTCCACCCTCGTCTGATCACTGTCTCGTGCTTTCGTCTGACTGAAACACTGAAATGGATAAATTCTGTATTTTTATTATTATCATTATTTTTATTTTTATTTTTTATTTTTTGTAGCTTAAACTTGCTAAGTTAAACTTCTAATTCAGACACGAACCCAGTCTATACCTGGGTTGAATAAGACCGGCGAATTTTACTTTTTCATCGGTCGAAATAAACTGATTCCCCATATGAAATGATTTGGGATTTTATTGTATATATATATATATATATATATATATATATATATATATATATATATATAGTATATTGGTATTTATATATCCTAGTAATATCAGATATTAAAATTGATCCACACAGAGTTCAATGTATTTATTATCACAGAGTATTTTAGTAAAAAATCAAACTAGCAGTGCTAGTCTGAAATAGACGATACCCACATAAATTTGGGATTTTTTTACTGATCCACACACACACACACACACACACACACACACACACACACACACACACGTTTGATACAATCTGTCTTGTCCATAGAATTATCTGGGAATTTAACAAATATTTTATATATATAAAAATATATATATATAATATATATATATGCCATTTATACATTATTTTAATAGATACAGTTTATTTAGATAACTAGTCTGTTTTTTAATTAAAAAGTATTAATTATATTTACCAGCCTGAATGTTCTAGAAAATCTGCGTTCTCGAACATTCAGGGCGATAAATGTAATTAACACTGGTTAATTACAAAAGAGCCATAACTTAAATAGATTGCATCTGTTAAAATATCGTATAAACAGAAAATATATTACATAATTGTTGGACTTAATCCATTTCATAATATACATTTATATATTTATATATATATATATATATATATATATATATATATATATATATATAAATATATATATATATATATATATATATATATATATATATATATATATATATATATATATATATATATATATATATATATATATGCATGTATGTATGTATATAAATGAAATAATAACGAAAGAATATTAATATACAACCCAGTGTCTGAAGATTTTAATTTTTAATATCTTTTATTGTTCAATATATATATATATATATATATATATATATATATATATATATATATATATATATATTTATTTATACACATTTATATATCATTTATACATAGAGATATAATTTATACATATATAAAAAGTTTTATACATGTATAAAAATTATACATATATCTGCAATTTATATATTCATTTATACATATACATATAGAATTTATACATACAGATAGATAGATAGATAGATAGATAGATAGATACATACATACATACATACATAATGGCTGGCCACTAGTATTCGAGGATACCAGTCTAGTAGGGCGGCTCGCTGAGGCACATTTGTTTTTGATCAACACCCACGGAGCCCACTTGTGGTTTATACTGCAACTATTAGTTAGAGTTTCTGGGATAGAGCGGGTTATCTAGCGTGATCAGCAATTTGAACTAGGCCAGCACGCTCAAGACCTCGGCCACGATGACTTGTGGCTCTGTGCTATCGACGGCCCTCAAGAGTTCCTTCTTCTCAGTTTCACCCACAAGGTAAGGTTTTCAGGCACTTTCCAAAATGCTGGGATCGACCTCAATCCATTCCGATAACATCAATCTCCTTCCTGACAAATCGACCATGGGTCTCAGGGTCAGAAAGCGACCGTTCTATGCACATACATACATACATACATGCAAACAATTTACACATCTATGCAATTTATGTATACATATGCATTTTGATGGGATAAGGAACAAAGAGGAAATGTTTATAAATTTAACATGTTTCCCTTTATTTATGCTTCATCAGAAATTTTGTGGAAATAAATTATAGAAGAGAAAGTTCAGATACTTCTAGTTCGATAAATTTAAATAATACAATTTATAATGATATATATACATACATATATATATATATATGCAATTTAAATATATATATCAATTTATCAATATGCATATATATATATACATTTATGTATAATAAGTAATATATATACATATTTAAATTGCATTTTATATATACACACACACACACACACATACATATATATATATAGATAGATAGATAGATAGATATCAGTCAGTTATGTGCCATGCGTGATACAGGCTTAGGCGATCATGCATCGTTTGATACATGACTGACGAGGCAGATTTTTTTTCCCGCAGTAGGTTGCCATTTCTTTTTTGCGGTAGACAAGTCCTATAGCCATCCAAGGCTATAGAACCTGGTCTCTCCTGCTATTTACACATAGCTGGGGAGAAAGTAGAGGATTCATACCTTTCCCAAGAGTATTAGCACGTAAGTAAATGTAATGGATTTGACTGAAATTCGAACTCGGCTATCCGATTCCTTAATCATCAAACACACACACACACACACACACACACACACACATATATATATATATATATATATATATATATATATATATATATATATATATATATATATATATATATATATATATATATATATAACAAATAAAAAATTAGAAAGGAATATATAATATATATATAAAAATTAGAAAGATATATATATATATATATATATATATATATATATATATATATATATATAACGGGCTCGGATAAAATTAGAAAGGAATACAAAGATGAATAAAAGCGGGTAATAAGGATATGCAGCCATTATGAAAAAAAAAGCAGAATAAATAAGCCTTATATAAAAAATAAATACATTTTTCCCCAGAAAAGAAAGACAATATTTTTAAAAAAGGGGAAAGGAAAAAAAAAAAAAAGCGCTAAGCAATTGGAAAATAGCAAGGAATGTCGGTAGAGGGAGACAACACGGAAAGGAATACGGGCTTGATTGGCTGAGAGTGAGATATCCGATTGGAAGGCATGCGATTGGTCGGCTGTGTAGGAGGCTGTAAGTGCTTTGCGGTCTCGCGGGTAGGCAGTATGGATGGCAGGTTGGCGGGCTGTATGATGAGTGTGGTAAAACAATTAACGACAAGCACTCGGCAATCTACAATAGACACGACGCCGCTCCATGTCATCCTTGTTCGACTTTATAAAACCATTATCTCGGCGTTTGCAGGCAAATAATTACTATTTATTTTCTGTGTGCACAACAAACAACTCGTTACAATAAACGGAAAGAACAACATGATTATAACGACAACATAAATGACAACAAACCAAAGGTGGTGGCAATATTAACGTTCTGCGTGTTTATGTGTAAGTGAGAGAGAGGGGGGGTACTTATTTAAGGCTAAAAGAAAGATTAGAGAAAGAAAGATAGTTGTTGAGTAGACAAAAAAAAATAGGTAGAGAAAGAAAGATGGAGAGAAGAAAAGGTGGGACCCAAGTAGAGAGTTTTTGTGGGACTAAAATATTCGAAAGGATCAAGGAGAAAGAAAATTGAGTCGCATTTTGTTTTTATTTACTTTTTTAAAATCTACTTTTATAGTAGACTTTTTCATTCGTTAGTTTGCGTTGTTTTTTGGGGCCAAATGCGCACGTCTCGCGCCAAACTATACTTGAAGTGGGAAAAATCGACGCAGAAATAATAATAAAATTACCATAAAATAAAAGAATAATTAGATTGAGGTTTTCTCATTTTTTTCTCTCTCTCTCTCTCTCTTCTTCATCTTCTTCTTTTTCTTCTAATTTTCTCTGTCACGTTAACCCCCACCCCTAATCGACCCCTGCTTACCATTCTGTCATACATCGCTTTATTTTCCCCGCCTTCTTTAATCTTCCACTTTATCTGCTCCGTTGTTTTCTCTTTCCTCTGCTTGTTCACTCCCAGCCTTTTTATTTTCTTGGTTTCTTTCTTTCTTCAGATATTTACTAAAATGAGCTTAAGTTCAGCACAGGTCCAAGTGAAACTAAATGGCGGAGGTCTAGGAAGACTGTGCTGTGCCTATTTTTTCTAAATAGAAAGCGTCCACTTACCTTGAAGATCAGCATTTGAGGGAAATTCAAGTCTGAAGACCATTCACCACTAAGATAGATAGATAGATAGATAGATAGATAGATAGATAGACTGACTTTCTTAGGTAAATTCCACCTGCCCCGTTAACTTTTTACATTCTCTTTTTTCTCTTTCATTCTCTTCCCCCTCTTTCTATTTATATATATATATATATATATATATTTATATATATATATATATATATATTATATATATATATATATATATATATATATATATATATATATATATATAATATAGATATAAAGAGTGAGATTATATAGATATATGGAGAGAGAGACAAATTTTATTTCTTAGATACATTCCTCTTGTGTTGTTAACTTTTACATATTTTCATTCACTTCTATTTTTCTTCTACCTTTCTTTTTCCTCTTTCGTTCACTCTATCCTCTTCTCTCTCTCTCTCCTCCTCCCTTCTCTCCCTTCTCTCCCTCCCATTTCTCTGCTCTCTCTCTCTCTTCATTTCCCTATCTCTCTGTGTCTCCTTCCCTCTTCTTTTATCTCCCTCTCTCTCTCCATCTTCTCCTCTCTCCCTCTCCCATATCTCCCCATCTCTCTCTCCTTCCATCTCCCTCTCTTCACCCTCTCACCTCCCATCTCTCTCCTCCTTTCTATTCCTCTCCCTCTTTCTCCCCTCTCCCTCTCTCTCCATCTCACCCTCTATCTCTCCCTCTTTCTCACCCGTATTTACCCGGATATTTACAAGGTTTAGTTTAATTTCGTAAAGCCAAATTAGTGAATGTATGAAGAAGATTGTATAACGTTCATCATCCATATGGGGAGGGCCTGTCTGCCGGCCTAGAAAATCAGTATTTTTAATCCGTTTTTTTTCACTCAATTATGAACACCTACCGTTATTAGCAATGGAAAAGACCAATATTTCAACTCTTTCTCTCTCTCTCTCTCCTTCTCTCTCTCTCTCTCTCTCTCTCTCTCTCGCCCTCTCGTCTGATCAAGTCTTCTTCCTCTTCCTTTCCCAATATATTTCTTTCTTTCTTTCTTTCTTTCTTTCTTTAACGTCTCTTCTATCCTTCTGACCTTTTATTTCTTCTCTTTACTCTTTATTCGTATCGGTGCCGTCTCATCACCACACTAGCTGCAGCTATAAACTCTCCCTCTCTCTCTTTCTCCCCCCACCATCTATTCATACCCCCATTCATCAGCCCCGCCTATCATTCCCCGTCCCATTACGTGCTTGGATCTTAGCTTGTCTCATTTTGCTAATTAAAAACAAAACAGGAAGAAGAAATAAAATTGTAATTGAATCAAATTGTCGCAATCCGAATATAAATAGTAATTAGATCTTTAAGACATAAATAACAAAAGAGATAATTAAAATAGTTTTATTTTAATTGCGTTCTTGGGACGAATGCTAGCGTATTACTTCAGGGGTCACAGAGTTTTGTTTACTTTTAATATTCGTTGTTATTTTTGTTTCTTTATTTTCTTTATTCTTGTTGTTTTGATGGCGATCATTGTGTAATACGATGGCGGTGGAGATGGTAATGTCTTTAAAAAATTAAAGACAAATGTCTGCCTGTCGCAATAGCCAAGAAAAAGGAAGGAAAGGATGGAAATTGTACAGAGAATATTGTTCTAGAATGTTATTTCCTTTTAATACAAAGTCATATATGTAAGTATATATATATATATATATATATATATATATATATATATACATATATATATATATATATATATATATATATATATATATATATATATATATATATATATATATATATATATATATATATATATATATACGTGTGTGTATGGGCGTATCAGTGTGAGAATATATGTACACTGGAAGCCGCTTACTGTGATACTTTGAGATGGAGTTGTACAATAAGCATTTCGACCATAAATAATCCTATCTTTTTTCAATATTTTTCATATTACCATAGATTACGCACTTCTGTTCACAAATATCTAGATAAAAACAATAATAAATGTAAATTCATTGTAAATTGATTTCCCCCTACGGAAGCCAAAACATATATGCCCAAATGACATTATTTAAAATGTTGCGATTTTTTTTTAAATCTGGAGTGATTAATCCATACTAATATTTGAAGGAAAAAAATCCATAGTTTACGCTTTACGAATTAATTTTTTTTTTCTCACATTTTTAAGAATTCCTGTCCTATGAACATATATATTTTTGGCATCCGCAGAAAGGGATCAGTTTACAATTAAAATGAACAGCAAGCAGGAATCCCTATTAACTTTTATACAATTTAATAAAAAAAATTTTCAAAAAAGACGATATTCGTAATCATCTTTTTAAAATCGTTTCACCACCAACCAAGGCAATAATGTCACTA